TCATCGAGAACAATCTATATTAATCCACATTTCAAAAAACCAATAACTTATCCTCAACAAGTAATATCAGCTCGTGCTCATATTAATCCTTTATTCCTGGGAGCCCATCGACCACCAGCTATACATATGAACCCCAACTTTGTGAATAACACGCTATTGAATCGACAAAGCTTACCGCAAAATAACGTAGTCCGAAACTTGACTTCAGAAAGTGTAATTAGATCTAGTGTAGTTCCACCACAACATATGCGGATAGAGACAATAGACCTATGTCGAACCTCAGATCATTTGCTGAAGGAATCAAATATAAACAAGAATCTAAAAGAATATCCAGATAACAAAATTACATCCCAAAAAATTATAAGTAAATCCCGTACAAAAATTGTACGCGAGCCAGCTTTAGTTAATGACGCCCCCACACCTACCTCAGATCCACTCATCCGTTTAAGTAGCAAAAAGTTGGTAAGACGTATGCATGTACGTCCGACAACAAGCATAACCCAAAAGACTACGCTGGCGGCCACTAGCATCAGTGCAATTGGAAAATACAAACTTGTTCGAAGTAGAGGAGGACCCTGCATCACCACTAAAAGCAAAGCCTTGACACCGTCATTAAAATTCAAGCGAAAAACTTTCGTAGCGCGCTATGCGTTGCAACGTTCAACCTCCGAATCCAAAATTACACCGACGTAAGTATAATAAATTGATTTTAGACAGTTGCAAATTTAATTTTCCCATGCTTTAGGTCTTCTAAATTGCGTTCATTGCCAGTCAATAAGAAGCTTCAATTGTTGAACATCAACGGAGTACTCTACAGGTCAACACGCAACAAATTACAAAGAAAAGATACTACTGTACCTCCAATTAAACTAGCGTCGGCTGGATTGTCTACGTTAAGCCTTAAGTCAAATTCTAACGCTACCCAGAAATCCAACAAAAATTCTTATGGCCGTGTGATATTTGTGCATGGAACGAAATTCGAATTGGACAAGACTGGATTTAAATTAACACGTCTTACTCCAACAAGCATACAGAGCGTGTCGGGGGGCCTCCAAAACTCAGAAGGAACGGCTTCAAGGCTGCGCCAGCGCATAGATATTGGTGGCCTAACCTACGTCGCTTCCACAACGCAAAATGTCTTCGTGCGTACTCGAAACCACTTAACCTTGGCACATTTAAATACAGCAAAAAATCGTAGCCTGCAGCTTTTAACACGTCGCCTAGTTAAAAGCAATATACCGTGTGCCATTTTCCAACGCATTGGCAAATGTATTGCTCACGAACGAGGGAGGTGCAACAAAGTGCACGATAAACGACAGGTTACCATTTGCCCACGGTGTGTATTAAAGGTTCTTGAATAACATAGTCAATTATTTACACTGAATTTCCACTTTGAAAGATTTTTGCGCAGCGAATGCCACAACTCCGAGTGTTTACTCTCGCACAATGTTTCTCTGGCAAAAATGCCTGTTTGTAAATTCTTCCTTCAAGGTGTTTGTGTACGCACAGACTGCCCATATCTCCACAAAAAGCTCAGTGTGGACGCGCATATATGTCCAGATTTCTTGCGGGGTTATTGCAAGCTGGCCGATCAGGTAAATGCACACAAAATGCTCTAAGAGGATTGGTTAACCTTTTTTTTGTTTTTGTTTTATTAGTGCAACAAACGCCACGAATTCGTG